ACATCTGAAAAGCTGCTGCCACAGCTCTGAAGTTCAGCTGATGGGAAATTATTTTAATTACCTTAAGAGGAAATGACTGCTTTGCCGGGCTGTGGGATGCAGCTGCCTGCCTGCCCTGGAGCTGCCGTGTGGGGCTGGGGTCCAGCCCTGCTTCACAGCCTGGCGTGGGGGAACTTGCTCTCACATTGTCTGGGGTGGAGCTGATGTTGTTTTTCCCAGCCAAGGCGAGCTTGGTGTGGCTGATGGGCCCTTCCTTCCCTTTTCTGTCGGGGCCCTGAAAAGAGAGGGTTGTTTGTTTTTTTTCCTCTCTTTGAGCTCTGCTGCTCTTTTCCAGCTTTTCTTTTGCATGAGGATTGTCTGAGTGTGGCAGTGCGGGTGTGCTCATGGCTCAGTGGATGGATAGCAATGCCCAGCTCTCAGCCAGAGTGATGGAAATGTTCTTTTTGGTTCTGTTCGGGGAGAGTCTTTTTCCAACTGCTGCTATCTGGTTTTGCTTTCATTTTCACTAAACTAAATGTCTGAGGTTGATGCCTGGCTTAAAGCAGACAGGTGGATTTTGCTTGTTTTCCCAGTGAAGCTCTCTGGAGGGTGATTCAGATGGCTGGATCACTCTTCAGGCCTGTCCAAGAGACTAGTTTACCTCCTTCCTATTTCCTTCTCCCACTGCCTTCCTGAAGAATAGGGTTCCCCCAGTCTGTCCTGCCCGAGTCCCCCAGGGCTGCCCTTTGTGGCAGCAGCCCTGTTTTTTATCCCTGTTCCCACCTTCTTGGATGGAGTGTGGTGTCATCCCATTTGCAGCCCCTATAGGGATGCACGAGTACACTTCTGGCCCTGCGAGGCATTGCTTCCTGAGTTTTCCCAACACTTCTAGTATTGGGAAAGTGTTCCTTGGGGCCTCCCTACATCACTCCCTTTGGGCTAGGGAGGCTAGAGCAGTCTCTAGATTTATTATAACATCAGGCTGAGTGGATTTTGGGCTGCTTGTGTGAGCGTCCTCTCATTTTGGGTCAGCAGGATGAGCACCACGAGGGCAGTGTGGTGGCAGCCTCAGATGGCAGGAGGTTTAGGTGTTGTGGCAGGCATGGCCATTGGGAAGTCGGGATGGGGAAATCACTGGCACTGTGGGACAGGCTCTTAGGGCTCCAGCACTGAGCTGCCTCTGCTTTTCACAAGCCTCACTTTGTGCTTGGTGTGAGAAGCTGCTTCCAGTTTGCGATGGCCCCTGGCTTTTCCTGTGCACCTTCCCTGTGAGCAGAAATGCTTCTGAGGGTCAGAGGTGAGGGCCAGGAGTGGATTGGCTTTTTCTTTTGGTGTATCTTTCTCTTACACTGCCACTGCCAGCTAAAGCCTCCTTTTACAAACTCTGAAATGTTTTGATGTGATGCTGTGCTTTTGTGTTCTTTTGCAAGCTTCCTGCAGTTGCTTATTTATGTTTTTGAGATTTTCTTTTGCTAAAAATATGCAGTGGAGGCTCATGAAGCTGCTCTGTTGAAGCTTTGTGATGCTGAACCCAACAGGATTTGTCTGCAGATGCTGAGCTGCATGGGTGACCAGAGTTGTGAGTCCACACAGCACTGTCACGCCTGTCTGTTCTTAGAAGGGACTCCATATACAATGACTCCTGTGTCAGGCAGTCAGCTTGAACAGAATCAGAAAAGATTCAGATGGAGTGAATCGAGCTGGGAAGTTTACCTAGTAAACATAGATAGGGACACCATTTTGACAGGTGGGACAGCGCTTGCAGCAGACTTTGCATGTTTTCCTGGCATTGCAGATTACATCCTGAGTCAGCATCCCTGGGAAACAACAGCCCTAGGGCTGCCTGCTATCCAGGTAGTCAGATTTCAGTGAAAATGATTTAAAATTAGTAGTTGGAACTGTGATTCTATTAACCAGTTGGAAAGCCTGTGCGTTTGTGGATTTGGCTTTAGCCTTGTCCTGCTTGGGAAGTGAAATGGAAGTGTCAGTTTGCAGTGGGTGGTATGTTGCTGCTGCTTTGTGTCAGCCACATGGCTTTACGAAGTGGAGTTTGTTTTAGTCATTCTGTATTTCAAAACAGCCTATTCAGCTCTTTTCCTGGTTTTGTATTTGGTGAATGTATTAACTTGAGTGATTTGTATCCAGCCTGTCTCAGAGGCGCCTGCCTTGCCACACATGGATGGCACTGGTGCCTGGGGACTTCTCACTGACCTAGGTGTTGGCTGCATCCCTTAGGGCAGGATTTGTGAGAAGGTGTGCTGCCCTTAAAACTGATTCATTAAGCGGGAGGTTGGAGCAGTAGAGATCGTTTCTTACCAATGCCCTTCAAGACTATGAAACTGTTAAATCTCTGCCTTCTGCAGCTGTTTTTTACAATGAATATGCTTTCTGCTCCTATCTTTTCCTTGCCAATGTTCCAGTCTCTGTAAGGCAAGCAAGAGTGACTGCTGGCAGGATGAGTGGTCTATGTTTCGCCTTGGGGGGCTGCTGGATGCCAGCCAGCAAAATGCTGTTTGCAGTTCCAAATGCTTGTGGCTGTCCTTGCCCAGCTGGAGCTCACAAGTCACCAGTGGGAGATTTCCTCTGTAAGTTCACCTAAATGGCAGACTTTCATTTCCTCCTGCCTTACTCTGAGTGGGTATGAGACATTGAAAGAACCTTTGTTTGTTAAACCAGAAAGCATTCTCCAGTCTGACGGGGCTCACAGTCTCTTCTTGGGAGCAGCAACTGGGAGAAGAGTCCGGTAACTGGGAACACAGAGCCCAGCTTGTCCCAACAGGAACAGGCTTGTTTGATGGGACAGCAGCCACACCCAGTGCCTGGCAGTGGACTAGGCTGGCAGGGCCCTGTGAGGGGATGTGCTGCTTCTGCCCCTCTGCTTCCTGCAGCATCACAGCGGGTCCTGCTCCTGGCAAGCAGGGGCAAGAAGGATGAGAAAATAAAGTTCCTGGGCACAGATGCCCAACAAAATCCCATTTGCTGGCTGTGAAGAGTTAGGTGAACCATGCCCAGTGCAATGCCCTATGCTGTTTTAAAATCACAAAAGTGTAGCATTAGCACTAGCATCCTAGCTCTGAGTGCTAGTCTCCTAATGGAGGTGACACTCATGGGCACAGGGACGGCTGGGGAAGTGCCTTGGGGCCAGAGGCTGTTTTGGAAAACTGCTCCTCACCGTGGTGTAGAAGCAGCCCCCAAATTCAGCAGAAGCACGAAATGTACTGTCTCCCCCTCCTGCCACCTCTGGCCCCATTGATATGATGCCTGTCCCACAGGCACGAGGATGGCTGTGCCTGGCCCCTGATCCTGGCACCACTGAGCCCCAGTCCCAGTCATTCCACTACGTGTTCCTTCCTGCCCCAGTGCCTCCAATTTTTGCCTCTTCCTCCTGCTGCAGAGCACCTTCTGAGCTCTCCCTGCAAGCCACATTTAGTCTGCAGAGCAGAGAGGCTTCAGCCCTGGCCCTGCAGCTGCAGGGCAGCATCCACAGGGCCCAGCTTGTACCACGGGGCAGAGAGGGTGCATAACTGGGCGCAGGTGTCAGCTGGGAATTGCTGGGAGTGTGGGCAGACTGATCCCAGTGCCCCTGGAGTCTGAGAAATCACTGCCTTCTCCTCGTGTGAGGGGGAAACTTGCCTGTTCAACCAGTGCCAAATGCAGAGATCAGGAGATCCCTTTGCATCCTGCCACTGCGTAGGTGCTATGCAGCAAAGCTTCCCTGCTGCCCCTGGAGGTGCACCGAGCACCTCTGCCAGCTTGGCCAGTCTCCTCCTTGTCCTCTCCAGCGTGAGTGAGCACAGGTTAGTGAAGCAGCGCAACCAAGTTACTTCTTCTAAATAACTAGGGAATGAGCCATGAGTCTGGAGAACCATTTCTGCTTTTTTTTTAGTAGTCACATGTTTTGGAATGCACAAGGTTGATTGTGATGACCGGCGCCTTTTTGAGCTCCATAAGTCACTTGTGCTCCTTGCCAAGGGGCTCCCCAGGGCAGTGTGCCCCACCTTGGGCACCTGGGGGTCTCTGCAGCAAATGTGAGGCAGTAGCACTGGCGAGGCAGGACACTCAAACACACCCAAATGGAGGAGCAGGGGAGGGCACAGCAGCCCAATCCTTAAGGGGTGATCCTCAGGCTGGTATTTATGGCTGATGCTTTATGCCTTATGCAGGGGGCCCTCAGCAACCCCCCCACTGCAGAGCTTGTGCCAAGTGCAGTTTGTTGACTGGCTGGTGCTGGAAGCAGGACGTGGCAGCAGGAGAGGCCTTTCCTTGGGCTTCCTTGGTGAGTCATGCCATTGGCGCTGGAGCAGCTGGAAGCAAATAGAATGGCCAGCCTGGCTGTTCTGAAAGGGTTTCTCTGGTGCCACCTGGACTTCTCGCTTTTACCCTGGTTTTGACACATTGTTTCAATGGTTTCAGAAGTTGCCACTTTTGAAACCATCTACAGGAATTGCCAACATGTATGCAAATCTGGATATGGGGATTTTTTTATCATTTCTATTACAGAACTTCTAATAAATAAGTGGCATTTCTACAGAACACCAAAAATATCTCTAAGAAAAAAAAAAAGGCAGGAAGGGGATTTTATTCACTTTGCATGTGACTATCCATTGGTGATTTTGTCAGTAGGAGAGCAGATCCATTTTTAAAGCCCTTGACTTTTGGGCTGCCTGAGGTAGGTGGGAGCCCAGGGGGCAGCACTTCAGCCTGGTTTTGTGGTGCATGTGCCAGTGGGAACACAGCTCTTGGTTGGCCACACAGACTGTAGGACACTCTCAGTGTCAGTGACTGGTTCTGATACCAAGAGCACACATTGTTTGTGGGTTTGCTCTGACTTGGTGGTGTGAGGTTGCTTTGGATATGGATGGTTCAAACTTCAATACCTCCAAGCACTGATGGGATTGTGTTTGGACCAAAAGCTCTGTTTCTTAGAAACTAAACCCAACCAAAACCCTAATGTGTGTAAAGGATGTATGCTCAGAAAAATAGATTGTATGTGTTAATTTGCTGCTATGACTCTCTTCCAGTTGGTGCACTGCGTGTGGAGTTCTCCCAGCCTGTAAACCTGGAAGAAGTGGCAAGGATAAACCCACAGGTCAGAGCAGGAGGTCGCTTTGCTCCCAAGGACTGTGTAGCACTTCAGAAGGTAGCAATAATCATACCCTTCAGGAACCGAGAGGAGCACCTCAAGTACTGGCTCTATTACCTGCACCCAATTCTCCAGAGGCAGCAACTGGATTATGGAGTATATGTTATCAACCAGGTAAGATGCTGGAGACGAGCTTTCACACAGCTGTCACAACAGTGCCTGTGCCCCTTGAAATAGAGGAATGGCTGCTTTTCTTTGAAAAGCAGTAGGCTGGCAGGCGGGAATAAGGTTGCTTAAAAAAAGAAAAAGAAAAAGAAGAAAAATTTTGCTTCAATGCCTTTGGTGGAAAACCCAGGATCCCCGCTTCTGCTCAGGTGCAATTCACTCCTAAGAGTTTCTGCTTAAAGAAACCACTTGGTGAGGAGGAAAGAATTCCTAATAACGTAACCCAATTAATTATCTCTTTCCATATGTTCTTTTTTCCCAACTGCTGCAGGAATGGCATGCAGAGATTTTTAAGGTGACAAGTTGGTATTAATGCCTAGTTTGGTAGTAGATGTGTCATAAGTGTGTAGGATTTCACTTTATTGAACACCTTCTGTTCATGTTAGTGCACAAAGTCAGGATGGAGAAAACAAAGCTGTGGCAGTGGGGCAGGTAAGTGGCTGTCTTCAGGGGAATATAAAAGAAACAGGCAATCATGGAGAAGTTCTTGCAGTTTTTGGTTTTGGGGCTTTTTCTTCTTGCTATCTGGTGGCCTTCAATCTGCCTTTTAAAAAAAGAAAGGCATAAAAATGCACATTTCACTCACAACAAGCTGTCTTAATTTATAGCATAATGGTGTTTAGATAAGTGAGTGTTGTTCACCCTTGGAAAGGCTTAAAATGTGCATGTGTCTGTACAGGCTGCAGAGTGAAGGGGCAGATGCAATTCTGAGAGCCTCAGCAGAGACCACCTTCTGGACAATTCCACTGCAGTTTCTCTCTTGGATATGTATTTTTATCCTGTTTTCTCAGCTCAGTAAGAACTGAGATGAAATAACATGCTTCTTTAAGTGTTAACTCCTTAAATTTCTGCTTGGATCAGCTGGTGTGTTTGGGCATATCAAACACCATGAATATTTAAAATGGTCACCCAGGCGATGAATTTCATCACAGACTTGAAAGTAGGGGGAGACTTATCCCAAGAGAGAAAACTGATACTCCATTACTACAATTTCTCTTGCTTTGCTCATTTCCAGGGTGCCAGAGATCAGGACAAAAGGGATTTCGGGGGAATTAGCAGTAGTTCTGCAGCACAACGGCCAAGATGGTTCGGTGTCTGCGTCTGACTGCTTGTGGCCTGGCAGCCACACTGCTGAGGACACAAGGCATCTCTGCAGCATGCAGACAGGCGTGCTGTGCCCTAGAATTGAGCCCTGTAAGGAAACCCATCCTGCGGAAAGCAAGGAGAGCTGGTGCTGCTGTGGTGCAGCAGCCCAGGGCCAGCGGCAGCCTCTGTGCTTCGGGCTGCGTTTCCTTGCCCGTGTGAGTTGCTGGTGCCACGGGGCTGGCTGAGCCACAGAGCTGCTGGCCAGGGGTGCCGGTGATGCCTCCCTGCTCCGAGCACAGGAGCAGGAGGGTGGTGTGGCACCCAGCACGGCCCTGAGCTGGGGCTGCTGCTTTCCCAGGCAGGTGCAGTCAGCGCCAGCTGTGAGAGCTGCCTGCACGTGGTCCGGGGCATCGCTGGTGAGAGAGCAACCACCCCATTGTGTGCAGCTGGCGTGGCGCTCCAGCATGAGGAAAGCAGGGCTGGTGCCCCTAAGGGGCAGTGTCTGAAGCCTGGTTGGAGTCCCTGCTGCTGTGTGATGGTGCATGCTGGCTTGCATTGCCCTGTGTTGCTGGCTACTCCTCTTCTGTGGTCCTGTTCTCCAGCACTAGGGCTGTGTCCTTTACAGTTAACTCTCACAGAAGTTTCTGAAGAAAATGCTTTTTCTTGAGCGGGCACAGTTTGAGTGAGAGTGAAATGCAGTACACAGGGTATATATGCCCTGGCCACATCCAGTAGATGTAGGTTAGCAAGTAAGACTACTTGATTTGTAAAATAAACGTTCTCCTTCTGCATGCCTCTAATAAGCTGTGTCTAGAAGTGGAGTGGTCAGTGGTAGTAAAACCACTGGATGCATCTCCCAAGGGTGAGTGGGAACACTGAGTAGAGAGAGATACAGAAAATGTATTAATTCTTCCAGAAGTACAGTAGGAAAACAGTCTTATTTCTCTGCTGTCTTGACAATTGCTTTTCTCTTTTTCTTGTCTGTCCTTCCCTTTGCATCTGCCCTCCTTTTTTTTTTTTTTTTATTTTATTTTTCCTTCTAGTGGGGAAATATTACCTTTATTGTTAATCCTGTCTATATCAAAGCAATCACTGAAGCAAGGAGAATTACTGTGTGATCTGGTTCTTACACGCTGCCTACATGCTCTTCTGTGCTCCGCATCTCATAGAAAGAAAGAGGAGCGCTGAGCCCTGCTACTGCTGCACTGGTAATGTCAAACTTCTTCCTTTCAGCGCAATGTGTTTCTGTCACGAGTCCATTGTGTCTCCTCCGTGCTGTTCTCGCGTGCCTGAATGCCTCTGAGTAGGACTTGGCTGAAGTCAGGGGGATGATGTTTGTAAAATGTCCGGTATGTAACAGGAGCCAGTGGAAAATAACGTATTGTGTTTCACCTTGCACACTCCACCCCTAGAAAACCCAAACCCTGTGTGTTGGAGGATTTTTCAGGTAAATCTGAGAAGAGGACACATGGCTGGGCACGCTCTGCCCAGGGCCCATCAATGCCCCACAAGTGACAAATTTGCAGTGTCTCCCTCAGCCTTGCTTACTCCCACCCTTATTCATGTGTCCTCCCACACCTGCGGCCACTGCCAGGCGAATGCTCAGCTCTAGAAATTAATCGCAATTCAGCCCATGCAAATGCCCATGCTGCCAGACTAAAGTTTGAGAAAAGGAAGACTTAGCCAATTCCCTGGAAACTGGGCAGTTGTTCAACCATTTTCCACTGGCCCCTGGTGCCATTTGTAGTGTCTTGGTAGCAGTTTTCCAGAGAGGTGTGTGGGGGTCTGTGTGTGTGTGTGTGTGTGTGTGTGTGTGTCTGTGTGTGTGTGTGTAAGTGGTTGAGGCATCACTCTTACCCGTGTTACTTTGCAGGGGGTATCAGGTTTGTGGGCAAAGGAGGGAATTGTGCTCAGCTGCTGCTTACCCTTGCAGTGCCAGGGGAGGCAGGTTTCGACTGTGGCTGCTCTCTCCCACTGCCCAGTGTAATTGTGCTGAGGCCTCAAAACACCCTGTGACAGAGAAACACCAAAGTATCTCCTGATATCTCTCTATGGCTCTGGAAATATGTTTCTGCCTGGTCAAGTCCACTGGAGGAAGGACCTCCCCATGGATATGGGGAGTGTGATTCAGGCTATCTCAGTGTGTTAGCTAGCAAGCTCCCACTGGAGGTGATGGTTCTCCTCGTTGGCCAGAAACATACAACATACATCCTCACCATTACCTCCATGAGATCTGATGAGCTGGCGATTCAGGTGAGAGAGGTGCAGCCACATTTCATCTGTGCTGTCTGCAGGAGGAATCACAAAGCTACCTCCTGCATAGATGTGGGAGGCAGAGCAAAGTCAGGACATGTGGCTTCTTGCTGGTTTGCAGCTTCTTTAGTTTGAGTAACGATTCCAAAAACCCCAATTTTTTTCTGTTTAGCACTGAAAAAAAAGGAGCCCTGCCTCCTTTGGCAGGTCTGGATGAACAAGCCAGATTCAGCTGAGGTAAGGGATGGGAAGTAAAAAAGCCTGGATGTTCTTCTGCTCAGGCTGATCATTCACCTCCAGGTGCAAGCAGGAGTCAGTGTTAGACCTTGCAGGACTGAGGCAGCAATTTGTTCTGGGAGTGACAGAGAGAGTTAATTCAGGAGCCAGAAGCAGGTGCTGGGCACCAGCACTGAACTCAGACGTGGGTTAAATTTCAGGACAAGAGAACATTGGGACAAAATTGTCAGGAGAAGAAAATAGCAAAAATGTGCTTGGATCACATATTTTCTGTCTGAAAGCCTAGGAGAGCATGGAGGCTATGTCTAGAGCTTGACTGCATTGTCTAACTAGCAGTCCTCTGTGTGCTGCCTTGCTCTTCAGGATAATGCTCCTCTGTCCAAGCAAGTCCACACTCATCCATTTCTTTGTGACAAGTAGCAGCATTCATGGGATGACAAGCCACTAGGCAGAAGTGAGGGATGGAGGTTTTTTCAGCAGTGCTTTATCTGCTTTCTCAAGGCTCACCGGCAGGTACTGTGCTCTGTGCTGACCTGGAAGGAAGTTTTCACAGCTGTGGTTTGTTGTTTGGTTGTTTTTCCAAAATGTCACAGATCAGTCAAAGATTGCAGCGTGCATGTGAGTTTTGAGAGATATTTGAATCTCAGATACTGCAAGCACGCCAGTGCTTCCACATTGCCTTAGGTAAAGAAACAGAGCTTCTGCAAAAAGCAAAACCTCTTGTCTTTTTTTATTCCAATATACTGTGTTAAATCCCCACATACCTTCTGGGACAGATAAGCAACCTCCTGCCTCAAAGCAGTCACAGTTGTTAACAGCCTTGCAAAGTTTGCTGCATGAGCTACATGCTCACCGTAAAGTTAGTAAAAAAGGGCTTGGAGAGAGTTCTTTGTTTTCTTGTATAGGCTGTGATTCCCTTCTTCCTAGTCTTTTGGATGCCAGACTGTGAAGCTGCATTTGGGGCCACTTGGGAGGAGAGTGGCAATGCCCACATGAAGTGTTTGCCCTGTGTCCTGTCCCTCTCCGTGCACAGTGTGGGCTCCAGTGTGAGCTCTGCCAGGGTCCCATGGGTGGGGTGGCAGGAAGGGTCCTGCATGCTCTTGGTACAAAACTCTCTGTGCTTTGAGATTTTTTGGGGAGAGGTTTAAAAACACTGCTCCTTATAGCGCTGTTATCCCCATGTGTCATCCAGAGGAGTTAGAGGCTGCCTGAAGGCACTGGTTAATTACAGCTAAGCCTCTGCTGGTAACAAAATTGGTGCCCTTTGCCTTGAATTTCATTAGGAAAAGAGCAGCCAAAGGGTATGAAATGAGGCCCCAGCAGTTGCTTTGAGGTGTGAGCACATTGCACTTTGCACCAGCACCAGGTCGGATCCCCCTCAGAACCTTGGAGCCAAGTCTGGGTTTGGTGTCGTGGGCCCTGAGGAGTGCTGGGCAGCTAGGGCTGGCAGCAGCCTTTGCTGGGGAAAGAAAATCCTCCAATCTTATGACCTCAGCTGCTTCCTCTCCCCAGCCTCTTTGTTCCACTTGCCTTCATTTTCTGTTCTTGAGTTTTCACTGCTCTTGCTTTATGCATGATGATGATTGTCCACCCACCACGTTATTGTTTTGTGAACCCTTTTATTTTGGGTGAGGATGCTGAGAATTTGCTCAGATCCTCTTCCATGAAAGCTGACTCCTCCCTGTGAAGTCATTTATGCCCAAGGCAGGTGAGTAATGCTTTTGAAAACTGGTTTGACACTTGTATTTTAAAACCTTCATTTGGAATATACTTGGGGCTGTTTCAAGAACCTGCATTGGGTCTTCAGCAGCAAATCTGTTAATTAGTCTGGACTAAATGGTTACCAAAATGATTGCTTATTAACCAGATAAAGCTGTTACAACGAGTGTGGTGTTTCAAGCTGCTGCTCCTTGGACACAGTATTTTATGAATCCTTGGTTTGCATCCCGTGTTGGGTGTGGGTAGTGCAGGGTAGGGGGACAGCTTGCACAGTGTGGGAGTCCTTTGTCTTAGCACTGCTCAGAGAGTGTGGAGGAGTAAAAGTGGAATGGATTTGGCAGTCTTGGTTTCAAGGCTGGCAAAATCCTTCAGTCTCTTTGAGCGATACCCTATGAGTTTCTTTGTACCTGCTCTGTTGCCTTGTACAGGGTTTGGGTTTGAAGCTGCTGCAGAGTGGGGTCTTCAGTTGGAAATCCTAACTCTCAAACCACCAGTATTATTGGGTTTTTGGTACGATATTTTAGCTAAAAAGCTAAAGTACTCAGCAATTTGTGAGCCTCTACGTGTGCTCAAATCCACATGTGCTTTTGAAATGTTTTTGCCTGAAAAGGGTCAGACAGGTTCTCCTCAGGTGCTTCATTACCTGGGGAGGACAGTAGAGATTTTTCCTGCCCTGTTTTTTGCCAGTCCCTTCATTAGCTGTGCTTGCCCTGGGATAAATATGCCCTGCTGTAGTGTCAACTCTTTTCATGATGGTTCTTCCCGTCATGGCGAGAACCTTCCTGATTGCATTTTCCCCATCTGTCAAGGCCCCCAGGAGAGATGAACAGGGGTGAAGAGCACCCAAGAAGGGGATGTGCCACCGCAGCAGTGGCAGCATCCTCCTCTCCAGCTGCAGCCCTTTTGGGAAGCAGCTCGTGCTGGCCTGCCATGCAGTAACCAAGGCTGTGTCACAGCCGTGTGCCAAACCTGCTGCCCAGGGCCCAGGGAGCAGCCTGCTCCTCTGCCTTCATGGCTGCTCAGGGCTTGGCAGAGGGTCAGAGGTGAGCAGCAAAGCATCAGACTTTGGCTCCTGGTGCCATCTCGTGCTTTGCAAATCAGGTTTGGGGTGTTGCTCAGCAGTGGCTGTGCCACAGTCTCACAGCCATGTTGTGGCAGAGCTTAGGAGGAGGGTGCTGAAATTCTGGCCATAGCAGGGTTTTGGTCCATGGTCCTTGTCATGGCTGTAAGTTAAAGCCCATGTTTCTCTCTGCAGCAAGAGTCCCTTCTTCCAGAGGAGCTCACCTCTTTTTGCTTTTCTCTGCTGCTCCAGGAAGCCCCACCTGCTTGCCCTGTATAAGAAAATTCAATCCTTAAATGCCTGTGCATGGAGTGGGACATAGGGACTGCTTACCATTGGATCAAACCTGCCCTCTTGGGGGCTCCCACCAAGAGATGGGAGCTGAGCTGGGTCCAGCCCTTCCTCGGCCATTTTTCTTGCCTCCATGGTTTGCAGCTGACCCAAGTGTCACTGTTCCACAGGCAGCATTTGGGGTCTGCTGCAAACATGCCATGGGTGCTGCAAGAGCAGTGCTTGGGCTCGAGCTCAGTCTGTCATCAGGGTGAGTCAGCCCTCTGCAGCAACACTGGCATCTGGCAACGGGTAAGAAACTGCTGATGTCAACTGTCAAATTTAAGTCACTTAACTGGTTTTATTTGTTTTTAAATTAGGATGGAGAAGAAGAATTTAACCGCGCTAAACTGCTGAATATTGGATTTGCAGAGGCCTTGAAGGAGTATGACTATGATTGCTTTGTGTTTAGTGATGTAGACCTCATCCCAATGGATGACAGGAACACCTACAAATGTTACAGCCAGCCACGGCACCTCTCCGTATCCATGGATAAATTTGGATTTCGGTGAGACGCCTTTTGGAGCAGCATCTGTTTCCTAATAGCACTGCCAGCCTAGCAGGGCAGGCGCAGTGTTACACATCCCCACCCACCACTGAAAGCATGGGAAAGCATCTCTCCCAAAAGCCTGTCTTAACCTGCAGGGCCCTGCAGGGAGCGGGTGGCTGCAGGGGAGGAAGGCGGAGAAATGCAGCTGAGCACTTTATTAAAATTCACAGCTTCTGGAAGGTGAAACAAAGGGTGAGGAAGAGCTAAGCAGCCTTCATTCTGCAGATGCCCACATATCCCTTCTTGTGTTTCAGTCTAGGAGCTGGAAGACAGCTAGTGTTTCCACCCAGTCTGAAAAGTGAGACACTCACACACTGAGAATTATGTGCAGCTTTAAAAAGACTGCATCAGACACTATTTCAAGAGCAAGACAAAAATTTTTTGGCTGTTTGGTTTTATGCCACTGAGAGACCTGCCCTGGTACATGAGAGCAGCACAGAGTGAAACTTCTTGCAGCATATATTTGGGTTTAGCAAGCTGTTCTGGACAAAAACGTGTCTTGCTTTTCCTTTCAGTTCTGGACAAAAACGTGTCTTGCTTTTCCTTTTCAGTTTTTAAACTCAAGGAGGAGTTTAAAAGCTCATCTATAAAGTGAAGACTGGTCATGACCCTGTGGTGGCCAGTAGTGCAAGAGCTATGGCAGTGGTGGTGTTGGCAGGGTCTGTGAATGTCTCCACTCCAGACCCAAGCCCTGCTCCAAGCAGGACTGCCACTGGCACTGCAGCAGCTGCAGCTCTTTCTTGCACGGAGGTGAAGCTTAAAACAGAAATGCATGGCCCTGGGGATTTCTCTGCTTGTTAAAGCAAAGACAAGGTTGTACTACATCCTGGTGAGTTAAAGCAAAGACAAGGTTGTACTACATCCTGGTGATCCCTGTGTGGACCCTCTCCTTAAGCTCTGGGTCTGAATTTCATCTGTCCCCAGTCTCCTGGTGAATTGTCCCGTTTCAGGTGTGAGCTGGTTGGCTTTCTGTGTGCAAGGTCACACTGCCAGCTCAGTTTTGGGCTGCAAGCTTCTGTTTGGGGCACTGAGGGGTGTGAAGGTGAGCAGTAGAGCTGCACAAGGAGAAGGCTCTGTGGCATATCCAGTGTCTGTCTGAGCTCTTGCCACTCCTGTGGCATTCACGTCACCTTCGATGAGGTGATATGCATTTCAGCCTGTCCTTTGAGGACAGTGTACTGCTTGGTAAAAGGCTGCAGCTACTTCCAGTTGCAAAAGACCTCTCAGGTATATTTGGGACTGAGCCCACCAGTTCCCTCTCCCTCAGCTGAGTCCAGAGTACCACAACACATGGCTGCTTCCTGTGGCAGGAAGGTGCCTTGCAGTGGGTGTGGGCTGGGTGAAGGGCAGCAGCAAGCCCTTTTCAGGCAGGCAGGCTGCCCCTTGGCTAACACCTCTTCTCCTCTAATGTGCTCTTTTCTCTGCTTCCAGGTTACCTTACAATCAGTATTTTGGAGGTGTGTCTGCCCTAAGCAAAGAGCAGTTCACAAAGATCAATGGGTTCCCAAACAATTACTGGGGCTGGGGTGGTGAAGATGATGACATTTATAACAGGTAAATAATTTTTCCTCCTTGGCACCCTGGGGTGTGTTCAGGGTGGGGATGAGCACAGCCCTGCTGGTCTCACCGGGGTGTGGGAGGACATGGGGTGTCTGCAGGCAGGAGGTGAAGGTGATGTGTGGGGCAACCTCCTGGCTCAGTGAGAGCACGTTCCTGCTGGGTGCTGGCGCCCCATTTCTCGGCTCCCAAGGTGCAGCGGGGAGGGGCTCTAGTTGGCAAAGTCACACCCCTCCCCCTGCCATTGTTCATTCTCCCTGTACCCTCACCAACAGCATCCACACCAGTGCACTGGCTGGGGCAGTGTGCTTCTGGTCGCTCAGTACTGGCTCAAAGAAGGGAATTCAGGACATGCAGCTGAAGGTGGATGAGACTTTGATCAACCTTGCCCAATCCCACCCAAGATTTGTTTGGGTCTGCAGCCTTGTAGCAGATCCCTTTGTTCCCAGGAGAGTTCCACTTGTCACGCTGTCTGTATAATGCTGTGAGCCATGTGAGCTTGACTGGAAGGAGGCTGAGAAGGCTCAGAAGTGCAGGAGAGGATGAAGGTGTTCTCACAGGGCAGGCTGAGAAGACCAGGGCAAAGGATGAAAGTGCTACCTTTCAGCTTCACATATCCACAGCATTCACTGAGAGAAATCATCATGACCTTGTATTTGGAGGCCTTCTTCATGTTTCTCAGTATCAAAACCACTCTGTGATCTTTTCTCTGGGGTTTCTGAACTCTTCTAGGCTTCAGAAAAGGTGTTTAAAAAAAAAATTGTACCTTCCTGAGGTTTTGCACTTCTGTTTAAAAAAAGAAGAAAGGGACAGCTTTCCAGTAGAGCATTCATATCAAGGTGGCAGTCCTTTCTTTTGGGGCACTCAGGTTTTAAGGAACAGAAGATGCTGCAAAGAAGTGAAAAGAGAGAGGCAAACAAGAAACCAAGTATTTTTCATCACTGATATCTATGAAAAAACTCAGCAGGTGCTTTGTAGAGAGCATGCAAACAAAGACAGGCTGCCCCTCACCCAGCAGGTCCCAGCTGGTGCCACTGTGACTGACTATGTGTCTCCTTTATGCTGCGTCACCACCATTCACTTTGGTTTCCCCCAACACTGCAGCTTTCACAAGAAATGAGTGCTCCTCTGGCTCCCATCCAGATGGGTTAAAAAACTAGATGACTCCCACTCAAATTCGAGTCTACAGCCTGTACCAGGGTTAATGTGGGTGTTGGGTGTTGTTTGGAGGAGATGGAGGTGTAAGTGAGGGTGTGGTGAGCTATCTTGGTGTTGGCAGGGGGAGGTCTCTACTCTGTGTGGTAGATAGTGTCTGTGTGGAGAAGGACTGGCTTTCCTTCCTTGTGTCAGCAAGCTTGGCAGTGCATTAGTAACATCCCCCTCAAAAGAAACCAAAAAACAGTGGGTAAAACCAGTGGTTGTTTGTGGAAGGTGTGGCAGAGCATCCCACATCCTTTGGGTGTTTAATGTACTCGCTTTCTGCAGGCTGGTGTTTAAGGGCATGGGGATATCCCGTCCGGATGCGGTCATTGGGAAGTGCAGAATGATCCGGCATTCCCGGGACAGGAAGAACGAACCCAACCCCGAGAGGTGTGTCTCACCCTTCCCCACAGCAGGTTTAGGGGTGCCTCCTGCCCTTGCTGCTCCAGCTGCTTGGCCTTCCCTTTGCCGGGCACAAAGGTCCAGTGTGGAAAGGCTGCAGCCATCTCCTTGCTGACTGAGCTCTCTGCTCCTGCTCTGTGAGCCGCCACCTTCCCCTTCCTAGCTTATTATCTGTTTATACATCTTTTCCCCAACATTGCACTGTGGCACAAAGGCCTCTCCTGTTTTTTTTATTTCTTAAATGCAGAAAATTAGATTCTGAGCAATTGTTTCCAGCTTGTCTTTGGGGTATAAACCTCTGCTCTAGTGCAGAGCTGGAAAAGGACCTGTGTGATTTAAAAGCTTGGCTGCTTCTTCCTAGCCAAAATTTGACCCCATAGGAATGCATTGGCCCATTGCTCAGGCTGGCCAAATGTGGGAGTTTATGGCACTGATACTCAGGTTTTTCTTGAAACACCTGCGATGCTGCCTGAGAGGCATGCAAAGATCAGATTGTTTAAACATTTTTCCTTTCTTTCCTTGTTGTCTCCATCCCCTCCCCCACTTTCTTTTCTTCCCCTCCTGCAGGTTTGACCGAATTGCTCACACACGGGAGACAATGAATTCGGATGGCTTAAATACACTATCCTACAAGGTGTTAAGAACTGACAAGTACCCTCTGTACACAAAGATCACAGTGGATATTGGCTCCCCCAATAGCTAACATCAGAGACACGACAGAGACTTGCCTATATTGCCCAGGATATCTGGCCTCACTGATGCATTATGTGTGCTGGTTTTAAAAGAGTTGAAGTGAATCAAAAAAAAAAAAAAGGCCTCTTTTGGCATGCCAAAGTGTCTCCAAAGTGGTTGGACAAGTGCTTTTTAATTTTTTTTTTAAATTTCAAACTTGACTTTACACAACTTTCTAGCTCTCCGTTGTTTTGTAAGTCCAGAAGCTGTACATACGAGTTGTAAATAGTTACTTTGCCATAGAATGTTGAATCTGATGTCGAATTAATTGCTGGACTCAAAATTTTCTGATTTATGACTGTGATATATCAACAGTTACTGCCCATGATATTTGGTATTTTGAATGAGGTGTGTGCAGGCATTCTTTTTAATTCATTCCTGGTTTTACTTTATGAAGGACTGTAAAATGCTGCTAAAATTGTCCAAGTTTACGCTTTGCATTAGATTTTTTTTAAATGGAGACAGCAAAATACAACTTTTTTCTCAGAGTGACCAAAACAAACATCTCCTCTATGTGCAGAGCAGGTGTTGAACAATCAAGTCTGGATTCAGTGAATGTCATTATTTCTTTTAGTCTCAAAGGAGGCTTTGAGTGAGTTGACACAGTTTGCCAGAATTTGTGGGTAAGCTCCCTGCACAGGGTGGGAAGCTATACAGATGACCTCTCTAAAATCTGCTGGCTTCAGATAACCTTACTTCTGGATATGATAGAGATTATTTGCTTCAGCACAACACCACCTGGGATTTTTTTGGGGGGTGGAGGAGTTCAGAGTGGTGTTTGTGGTGTTGATTCATCTTTTGGGGTTTTTTTTCCCATGAAATAAAGATTAATTTCATTGCACAAATAAATTATGGCCTTAACATTTGCTAACACTTGTTAGTAGTGGTGGGAAGTTACCACGCTATTTAAACATTGTCTGAAGCTTCCGAAAACCAAAATTTTCTCTTGCAAGGTTGTGCATAAAACTTGAAATCTTTTATTACTTTTGTTGTTGTAACATTTTAATGAATTTTAAAAGCAATTTGTGTATCATAAGCAGTATATTTAATACCAGATTAAAGTAGGGTGCAGCGTAATAGGATGTGATTCAAAGCCTCCTTTATCTTTAGACTAGTAGGCTTTTCATGTGCGTCATTATGTATAAGCCATGTATTTTGTTTGCTCTGTGTATTTGTCTATTAAATCTCCTGCGGTGCTGAGATATTCACAGCAGGGCCGACATCCAAATTATTTTTCTTTGCCTAAAGCCTGTTTGCAATGTGTGTCCTCCCTTCTGGTTGTCTCAGGCTTGAGGGGCGTGCACATTCTGCAGTACCATTTTCTCTCAGTGCACCAGGGCACCACCTGTACAGACTCTGCTTCTCCTTCCCTGGACCGTGTGTGAAAGCCTCGAGCGCTGACACCCGGGAGCTGGTTTAAAGCTCTTGCCAGAACTCAGAACTGAATTCCTTCTGGTGAGCACTTTGCCACCAGCTCTAACCACTGCAATTTGCACTTCCTTGGCCTGTGCTGAAGGTTGTTAAAATCAGGGACACTTCTTGTTGTATTGGGGATCAACTTCAGCACTGCCTTTTTTTTTCTTTTTTTTTCCCCCCTTTGTTTGGTTTAGTTTGGTTTTTTGTTACATTTTTTGAGACCTGAAGGTTTTGCTGAGCCCTTGCACTGCAGGGGTGGGATCCTGCAGGGGCCAGGGAACAGTGCATTTCTTCTTAGGCCAGCAGTGGCTCACAGGACGCAGAGGGACTTTAATTGCTAGATGCCTTTCCAGTCTCACTTTGGAGAAGTGTTCGCCTCCTTTGGTTCAACGCTCTTTCTGGCTAGACTTGCTGCTCCAGTCATGGTGGGAGCTATGGGAAGATGGCCTTGCATGGAGCGGAGCAAAGTGCAAGGAAGGAGGCTTGTGGTTAAGAGCTTATCCCTTGTGCTTATCATTGAATATTAAAAAAACCCCCAAACAATACAATAGTCCTTATGGCAGATCAGGCTCCAGGTCTTAAAGATGCAAGAGAGTACAAGAAGATGTGTTTTACAGAAATCAGGAAAAAAGCCTCCCTGTAAAACATTGGCATGGGTGTAGTCTGTAGCAGTAATGGAGACACAGAATAGAATTGTTTTTAAAATTTTTTTCAAAGCTGCCTTAGAAAGGAGGGCTCCACTTCTACAGGTAGCAGCAGATAACCAAAAATTTATCAAGGCTTCACTTGAAAATGCCATGTCTTTGCAGAGAGCACCTCAATTTTGTGCTGAGCCTTTTGTAAGTCAGAGTTGGGACCTTCAGCTGTAATGTCTATCTGCTGACAGCTGGGTGGGGGAGATGCTGGCAGCATTTCTTGCAGTGAGATTCTTTGATGGTTAGAAAAAAGTTAGTGCAACAACACATTGTTTGGCTGTATGCTGAAATTATTCAATGTCATGGAGGTGGGATGAGCGCTTGTTTCTGGCTGTTGGGATCAAAGGTTTCTACAACATGTGCCTTGAAAGAGAGAAGAAATGGAAACTGGAAAATCAGGAAACCTGAAAACCCTTTTCAGCAGAGAGATTCTAGTAGTGCAAGAAGCTGCTGCACTGCTCCACTGCTAAAGCCACAAGCCATGTAAAGAACTGAAGCCACTTTTTGTAGCTTATATTGCCCTTTGGTGCTGACCTGTGATTTCTAGATCTCATTGTCTCTGTGTAAACTCTGTATCAGTCAAACTCATTAAATGCTCGTGACTCGACCTGGCCATGAAATTTCTCTCCCGGGGATTTTCAGGGGCCACGTCTACAAACACTCATGTTGCACCAAAGCCAATTCCGACTGTGTCCTGTGGTGGGTGGTGTTTTTTCCTCTCCCCTACTGGTGAAAACACTCAGAGTGATACTGATTGTAACTAATGGTTGAAACCCAGAAAAACAGCTTCAAAGGAAACGCTAATGCTTGGATTCTTTGGGATGACTGACTGCTTGTTAGCATGAGGGAGGGTTCTGATATGCTGCTTTCCCCCAGGACGCTACATGTATACTGGACTGCCTTTGGGTTTCCTGTAGGTGGTTTTGCTTTTGCATTCTTATCATTTATATATCAAGGGATGTAATCCAATGTGCTTTCTTTACTATTGATGTCAAATAAAAATATTTTCAGTTACAACGTTTGGCAGCATTGCTGTGGGTTACCTCTCTGTCTTGGTGGGTTTCTGGCTCATGGGGTAGACTAGGCCGTGCCTTAATCTCCTTGCATTAACTTTCTCCAACTTTTCCTCCCTCTGGCTACTCCCTGAATTGATTTCTCTGTGCTGCAAATTTTCTGCCAGTTAGAGACACAGACCAAAGAGTCCCCAGATGACACCAGAAAACTGTAAGGTGGTTCCTAAATCTGGGTAGGGGGACAGCATGCAATCCATCCTGAAACCAGGCAGAAGATGCAAACCCTCACTCAGGCTGTGACTGCTTGTGGGCAAACAGGCCACTGCTTGCTCCCTGAGTGCTTGTGGGTTTGGCTAGAGTGTGGAAATGGAAGAATAATTCCTGGGAAACTGAAGTAAACATTTGCCTGTGTTCCTTGGCAATTTCTCACAAAAACACTTTCTGTGGAAGAGATGTTTCTGGCCAGACTGTGGCTAAGGCTAGGCATGAGTCCCCAGTGCTCTCCAGGGAAAGGCAGGCTTGTTTCCAGCTGAGGCCAAGTACCAGCCTCTGGGCCCAGGCTGGCACAGGGGGCAGGACAGCCCCAAGCTCCTGCAGTTGTTTGCAGGCATGCTCTGAAGACCATATTGACTGAGGGATCTGGAAGAGAGCAGTGCCTGCCTCTGCTTGCTTTGTCCCTTCACAAGTGCCTCTTAGGGCTTTGGGGACAATGCAGGACCATCACTACAAGGAACTTGCCAGCAAACTGGGGTGCTGCAGCAGGCCTGGTCATTCCTGTTTCATCTTCTGTTGACTCTCGAACCCTGAAGTGTTGCAAGGAATCATGGGTGTTACCTTTTTATGCTTCCAAGTTTGGCATCTACAGGCAGAAAAATTGTCTAAGAGCAACCTTCCACTTCCTCCTGCAGATGGGAGGAGTATTCTGTGGGGAGAATTCTTCTGCCCTCAGACTATTGAGCTATTCCTCCTGTCTACACCCTGAGTGGGTGAGGCTCAGTGGCTGGAAGAAACCGTGTGTGGAAATTTTGTCCCTTGCTGAAAGCAGCAGCTGAGAAGTGTCACCAGGATTTCACCCTTCTCCCCACTAGTTACCAAGGCTTCTCTGGACCAGATCAGCTTGTGGCTGGTAAAGGATCCCATGACTCTTGCTGTAAGACCATATTTGCTCAGAGAGCTTTCTCCAGAGCTTGCTTTCTGCTGTAGCAGAGCTTTCTCCACCTCATGCTCCACCTGCCTGCCAAGAGCCAGGATGAGGGATTAAAGGTTTCTTACATTTATCCCACATGTTTACCCTGCTACACTTTACTGTTCTTCAGCCCACAGGGGGAAAAAAGAGCCAAAAACCCACAACAAAAAAATAAGCTGTTGTTAAAAGGAAGGAAAGTTCTAAGTAGAGTTTGCTAAACCTTTTCACCCTCTTGGAAGGAGTCTGAAGTAGGCGCGTTTGTCCTTTGTTCTTGCTTTGTCTTAGCACAGCCCTGCTGATTGCTGGATCTGTTCTTATTTGACTACATCCAATATGCAGGATGTCTACATACTCAGGGACAATGCACTCATGTGACACTCATATTTTCTGCCAACCCAAGGCAGCAACCCCACTCTTGGAGCCTGTTTGCCTTATCCATCCACTGCTCTAAATATAACCACCAGCAAGGAAGATGACTGCACAAAAATCTCTGTAGAGATCAGTGGAGACTTGACTTCCCAAGTCTGCACTAGACCTTGCAATGATGAGCTGAGTAGGGAAAATAAGGGGTTTGAGTTAAATCCAAAGGTTGGACCAGTAGACTTTTTCTTGATTACTTTCTTGCCTCTCACATGCATGAAAATTATTTCCAAGAATTCTTGTTCCATGATTTTTCCAAGGATGGAAATATATATTGCTCATAATAATTTTGTAATTACATTTTGTAATTACTACACAAGAATGGAGGTTCTACTGCTGTTTCATGTATCTTTCTCCTTGCCCTCCCTAAAGGTGGGCATCATATTAGCTTTTTCATCCAGCCTTTTCCCACTTGCCATGATATTCCACCATGGCTGACAGCAGTTTTATTGACATGAAATGATAACTCATGTGGGTTAGTGTCATCTATTCTATTCTTTAAGCAGTCCTTAAGCCTCACGTTTGGTCTTCCCACCTACTTCCAAACCCAAGCTGGTGAATGCAGATATCTGGGACCTGGCTTTCCCTCTGAAGATTGTACAAAAGTCCATTGATCACTGTGGTTTTTTCCATATTGCCCAGTACCACAGTGTTTCCTCCATCTGCCAGTGGCTGTGCATTTCCCCCAATTTCTAGAACACCTGCAAGATCCTGTTGTACTACCTTTAATGATCCTTTCTAGTCTGAGTTGTAGGTGGAACTTGGCCATGCTCAATACCACCTCTAAGTACACAAGCAAGCAATGTTTACTACATTCTTTTGCTATCATATTTCCCATTCTCACATGCTGCTTTGTTGTTGGTGTTTGTTGTTTGTTTGTTTGTTTTCATTATTTTGCTAAAATAAATGCTCTTTTTAGTCAAGCAGGACTTCCAGTGAAATTCCCAATTTTCCTGCAGAAGGGAAGGCTTGGGCTATTAAGGATGAGCACTCTGAAAAAACCCTTCCCAAGGAGGTTGATGCAGTCCTGGGACAGCATACCGAGGTGACACCTTGGGAGGTTTCAAGGGTTGATCAGTGGTCCCTGGGCTGTAATAAACCAGCAGCTGCAATAAACCAAACTGCAGCAAACCAGCCCTCAGGAGCTCCAAGCCAGAGCCAGCAGAGCAGCAGGAGTGCCATCCCTGTGTGAAGGGACACTGCACTAAGGTCATGGACAACGCCAACAAGCCTGGAGAAGCCTGCAGAGCACTTCCAAGGAAAGAGCAGGGAGTTGCACGGCTGTCTGTGCTTTCCAAACCAGCTTTACACCATATTTTACTAATCAGAACTTGGCAAGGTGTTTACTCTGTGACCATCTGCCGTGCTGCAGGAGAGAAAGGGAGGAGCTGTGAAACTTTCTAAGGTTGTGTCCAACTCATCCAGAGCTGGCAAACCTGTTAAGCCCATGTCTGGGAGCATGTGGAGGTGCTGCAGAGTGTTGGCACGCAAAAAGTCACATTGAGAGCTCACTGACCACGGGGTTTTTTTACATCCTCCAACTTTCCCTCAAGAGGGAGAGAAACAACTTAGTCAAAAAATGCAAAACATTGGTAGATTCCTGTGTGAAAAAGAGTTTGAAAAGCCATCCCTCCAGCGACACCCCACCTAGCA